AGAAACCAAAAGTGAAGCTGATGACGGCAGGTTTCCAGTCATCTCGGACTCTTGATTCACCTCCACATCTTTATGGTTTTCCTCCTCGCTCTTCTATTTATTTACCAGTTTATAAAGAACACGCATTCCCCGTGGCTTGATAGTTAATGCAGTTCCACATGCCTTATCGGTTCCTAACAGAACCACAATAAACACATCTGCTGTAGGGAGCAGACTCGGTGCTGCAGCATGTCTTAAGGCGTTGTCTTGGTAACCGTTTCAGGGATGCGATGGAGGAGGTTGGAGCTCTAGCAATAGAAGTTTGTATGTAAACGTGTTTTGGGGTTATATGAGCAGAAGTAGCAGGATGAGACGACCCCCCCACCCCGATTGCATTAGACAGTATTTATCTCTGCGTGACTTCGTCCTTTCCTGTTTCGTTCGCAGGAAGCAGCTCAGTCTGAGTCAGAGTGAATGTAAGGACAGATGTTGTTTTACCAGCTGCATCATCCTGAGCAGAAGGATGCAAAAACAAACTGATGTTGCACTTGTGTTGATTAAATAAAAGCTTCTTCCTTTCCTGTCTCACCCATTGAGCTGAGCTCTCGTGTTTTCTCAGCAGTGACGTGGGTTGGATTTGTTTCCTTGTGTATAAACTTTGCTTTAGTTTGGTTCTGAAAGAACCGAGCCAATATGGTACCAGTGGAGAAGTCTCTGATGCTGCATCTGACCCGAAAACCAGTTTTCAGAGTCGATCACAGCTTTTCTATTTTCTCCTGTACCTCGCTGCCTTATCCCTTTGCATATGAGAGCGTGTGCCCTTTAAGAAAAACGCCATTAAACCAGAAGTGATGATGCTGCATTTTCATGCTCTGTTTAGTTTTTATGCTGGCTGGTAAATGGGAAAAACTTGTACACGAAGCTTAATTTTACCCTCTTTCCAAAGAAAATAAAGTATATGAAGACCTGCTTCTGCTGTTTTGACTCTTTTTTTCATCACTGAATCTGATCATGACTCAAAAGCTGTAAGATGATATTTAAAAGATGCACAGCTGATGAGGCACATCAGCTCTATGTTCACAGATGGAAAATTTAAGCATATCGAGAAAACACTGTTCCTTCTGAGAAGCATGGAGGAGGCTCTGTTATGTTCTGGGGCTGCTTTGCTGCATTTACACTTGTTCATGCTACAAAGTCTTCTTTTGACCCTCGCAATCCAAATGTAGTCAGATGGACCCCATTTTTCCTTATTTTTTCCCAGTATTTTCACTAATCCAGATGTGGTGAGCCCTGTGAGCATTTGAAGGGTCTTTGTCCAAATGTTGCCCCCAGTGAGGTCCAATCATCGTGTGCACCGTTTCAAGTTTTTCTCGTCTTTCTCTGTTTCTTTACTAATCCTGCTGCAGCAAGCCGTCTGTTGAGAGTTTTGGCTGAAATGTAGTGTTTGTTACTTTTATTTTTCTCAACCCACCTGCATTCATAACAGGGTCCGATGGCCCCAGGTGTTTTATTTGAGGAGTGAGCAGCACCTCACCCCTACCACATGGACCCCAAGGGATGAACCATCAACCCTACTTAACCGTCCCATCCTGGAGGGGTCACCTGATAGGACAGCCAGAGGGTTAATCCTGTTGGTCCCCGTTTCCCACATCAGATTCTTTGATGATGCTCTGTAGATGAAACTTCACTCAAAAAGTCCAAAAATATTTTCTCTCTACTAGATATTCGTGAATATGACTTTATAACTGCATTAGCATAAAATATGTCCGCAAAGTTTTAAAGATGTTCTTCACTCCTACTTCACAGTAGGAATGGCCTCGTAAGTCTTGAGTGGGGTTACAAGTCAGGAAGTACAACTCAGCTGGGTGTGGGGGTGGGGGACAAACACAATGAGAGCAGGTTTTGGACTCTTATTTCCTGATATTTGGACAAGACCTGTTGCTCTCAGCTCAGAGAAAACTACTTCTGGTGTTAAAAAACTTGGAATAATCTAGAAATCAAAATAAAAATTCACGGTGATCTTAAATCAGGAACACCAAAGTCAGCAAACCTTAAAGTGACAACATGTAGTTTTTACCATTAATCTCTGGAAATAAACATTGAAATGTTGTAGTAAATGACTTCCCAGTTGTTGAAAATATTGGCAGTTTCATAACATATGACCATAAAAATCAGGTCTAAAATACATGGGAATGGTCTAAGAGTGTTTCTCAATGTCTAGGCACCTGGCTTTGCGAGGCGATGTTTTGCGAGGCCAGGCGCCTTACTTACGAGGACACTGTCCTTCCTTGGTCAAAGAAAATGGTAAAATGGAACAGACTTGTATCACGTGACCGCGGCCTCCACGGTGGTCACGTGACACGGGAGATAACGTTATATTTTATATGTATTAGTTTCAATATAAATGTATAACAAGGCTTTGACTTTTTAAATTGTGTATATATTGGTTAAAATAAATATATAAGCGAGTTACTACCCGCTAGCCACTGAAGCTGCAACTACTGAGCAACTAACCAATCATAGATAACTTCTTTGGATCTAAAAAACATTTGAAATTAGTTGACTTACTTTTGAACTTGAAAATTTCCCCCGAAGTATCTGCCGGCTTCTGATCCGCCGTCCTTTTGGAAATACCGTGGTGTATTCTGGGTACTTTTTGACCAAGGCTAGGCTACAAGATACCTTCCATGTATCCTTGCTCAGCTAGCTGAACGGCTAACAAACGGAGAACATGAACATTGGAACAAGTCTTGGCGGTTTCTGATGACGTATCTCCTAGGCAACCGGGGCAGGGTCAAGACATCAAGGCGAGGTTCCTTGGCATTGAGAAAAACCCATGGTCTAAATTTCTGGGCGACGCCATATTGGATGCCATGTTCCCCCCTACAGAAGTCTGTGAGGACAAAATACGTTTACTGATTTGTAACTAATGATTACAAAACTTTCACCATTAATAAACAGTGTTGCTTTACACATTTACCTCTTCACTCATTGCCAGTGAGGAAAGGGAATCTTTCATCTTCTTGTTATTTTGCAGGAGGTTGCACTCCCAGAGATTTTTGACCCTAATGGCCATCCGTTGACAAGGTTTTATATGAACACAAAACAAATGCTTGTTTGCAGTGATTTAGGTACATACTATCACCAGGGGAAATTACACACTGACACTTTAAATAGTTGATTGCAGTTTGGCCTCATGAGACATGGAGAGTTTTCCTGCAATAATGTGCTCCAAAGAAAACCCATGAGGACTCCTGGGGCATTTTACACCAACAGATCTGTAAGTTGTTTAGCACGGTGACCTCATGGAGCCATGCACACATTTAGAACCTATAGTTATTTAGAATAGATTAAACATATTTAAAGCCATAGTATCTTTTTCTTGGAGCTTGGAATGTGGGTCTGAAAGCCCCGCCCACTCACTTGACATGTTGCTTTTTGAGCCATCAAAACTAAACGTAAAGCAATGTGAAGTTTTGACTACCAAAAAGTTATTAAAAATATCTGAGGTGTATTTTTTATTTTCAGTCCTATAATTTGTTAGTACTAAAACCAGCCACGAGGGGGCACTGATGTTTTCACTTTTTGTCCCCTGGCCTGATTTATTTTACAAATTTAAACTGCCATAACGTTTTTTTCAGCAGAATTGTTGACATTTTTGTTTTACACACAGTTTCAATCTTGATTTATTTTGTTATTTTTTGATATTTTATTATAAAAGATCATTTGAAGCAATGATACCACAGTAATAACTCAGGTGTTACACATAAATCAGTCAGTGTGAAATCTTTCTAGAACAAAAACATATTCTTTATTTGAAAGCAAACAACAGAGTCCAGTTATCACATAACATCAGCAGCTTTCCATGAAAACATAGAACTGTTATGAAAGATAACCAATATGTGGAACTAATTAAGATTTTCAGATGTGGGTGCGTGTTAATCTAGGGGAGATGCATCCAACTGCACGTTTTAACACAACTCCACCAACATGCATCTGACTGGAACACAAACTAAAAAACTGCGTTTTGCAGCTACGGTTGCATCCATACGAGATCACGGCCGCCTCGTAAGCCCGACTAAAGCTGGTGCAGGAGGGGCAAAGTAAAGGTGTCTGCAAAAGGGAAGTAAACAGGAATCTGAGAGATGCATGAGCTGTACAACACTAGTGAAAATGGTGAACAGTGCATAGAAAAAAACAACCTCTATAACAGTTCATAAACACATGTACACTGGAGATGAAGGCGTCACCGTGACAACTAGAGAAGCAGGATAAAACCATTTACAGCAGGATGCCCCAACCCCCTGCTTACATTCATTCATTCAGCAGCAATATTCATAAAGGATTATTATTTATTTTATTTCAAACGCTCAAAGTGCAAAGATTTACACGTTATGTGCTGCCAGTAAATAAAAGGACATCAAATACTGAAGAAGACTCTTAATGTCCACCCACACGGGTGGTGTAGTACGAGCTGATGTAGTCAGCGTTACCCTCCTGTAAAAAAGGTCCAATATGGTTCAGAGTCACAAATAAACCAGTCTGAGGGAGTGATCACCAGGCCCGAGCGCTGCTCAGAAGATTCCTCTCATCTGTCTGAAAACAGCCTCCAAAGGTTTAATTTAAAAACCATTCGGACTGAGACACATTTCTTTGCTGTGATGAGGATTTCTAGAGGTTTTCCCCTGTGAGCATCTGAATTAGGACTCTGGTCACCAAAGCGTTAGTAGCAGTTATCAGAATGATCCAAAACTCTGAACAAAAGTACTCCAACTCCTCAGTCAAGTCGACATCTCTGGCGTTTCCTGCTGTGTAAGAGGCAGTGAACGCACCACGTGTGAATAGCTCCAGATCCCTGTCACCAGTCTGATTTATCTTTACGGTTTTCATTTTTATTCTTATAAGAATAGAAACTTAATACAGTCATTTACACACATGTCACATGTAAGAAGTGTGGTTTCATCTCTGATTAATCCACCGTCAAGATGAAGAGGAGTTCTTCACATGAGATAAGGGAGGTGTGTTTGAATAACACTTCTTTGTTGTTTAATTATTACAAATTAATAAAAAAAATCAAACAAAATGACAAATTGTTTTTGTATGTGGATTTCTGGGACTGAACGTCTGACTGCAGTGCTGTTAGCAGGAACCCACCGGGGTTGCCTTTATTTTCCAGGGAAAACCTGGGTCAGCTTAATGTTTCACTTAAAGTGAAATGAATTCAAAACATCAGTTTTGAAACTTTTAACAGAAAAAAAATGTATTTTTTCTGTATGGCGTCTACGCACCATCAGACCATGGTGGTCCGAGGGATGCATGTTTCCCAAATGACTGAATAATTATAATCTGATGGTGCGTAGACGCTTCATTGTTTCGCTGTTCAGCCTGCTACACACCAGTGCTCTGGTGGCAGTTTGCCAAATTAAAATTCATAAATGTGACGATATGTGTTAAATGAGGGGAACTGGTTCATCGCCAACTTTGTGTCATCAGAGAGAGCGTTACCACTCCGTAGGGGGAAAAGCTTTTTGGGGACTTGAACCTGACTAACATTTTTCCGATCTAAGACCAACGATTACAACTCTCCAGTCAAGTGGCAGTGATGTCCTATTTCCACGACTCCATCAAAGGTCTATAATCAGATTGTAGATTCACATATTCCTGAAGGCATTTTAACAATAAAATTTCACATCTACTTTTGAAAAAGGTAGCACTTCATATCAGGTCCAGAAACACCCTGAAGCCTGAGGATGTTTTTTTCTGAACGGAGAAAAACTCTGATCCAGAAGCTCCTATAGGACGCTGATTAGATCGCCGTGGTTAGAGAGGGACGGGGTTTGGGTGTGGATCCATGAACCTGGTTCCTCCTGTCCTTCATTAAACTGAAGGGACAGATTCCTCTAGCTCATGACTCCAGAACCCTGCGGTGCTCTGTAGGTTCTTTCTAGTGCTACACACAAGTCATTTTCAAATACAAAGCTAACAAAAATGCGTCTTCAAAAACCCTGGTGGAAAGTGGAGAAGTTAATGGTTAGCCCATGTGCTAACAGCAAAGTCTATGGGACCTGGTGACAGGAAAAGGTGCAAAACACTTTAAACTCACATTATCTTAAATTATGATTATATTTTTAATCCTGCTTCAAACTGACTAGTCATTCAAATGTGAATGATTGTTGCTGGAGTCGTGACGACTGATCAACACTGCAACACAGCTGCGTAGTTCAGCAAATGTGGATCTGGACTGATCACAAATCAGGCTTCTCTGTCTTGTTTTGCACCTCTGACGTGAGTTAGGAATGCCTCCGTGTGTGTGTCCCTTTAAAGAGCAGTACCTGGTGTCAGACGGGTGAGTGGTGGTTGACCCGTGAACTCCTGAAGCGGCAGGATTGACAGCACACAAGCCTATCTACACAGATTCAGCGTGGCTCCACCAAGTTCACTGGAGGTGAGAAAGTCTCTGTTCCTGTTGGTTCGAGTGTGTCTGAGTGGGATTTGGCACTTTGGTTGATGGAGAGCTGAGTGACAGTTCGCCTTCTGGTTTCCTCTCCGTCTGTACTTCTAGCTCCTACCAGGCCAAAGGTGAAGACAGTCTGGGGCTTCGGGGGTTTTCTGGAGTCTGGGTCTCACTGAGAGCTCTCTGAAACACAAAACTCAACATCTCATTGTGGAATCGTCAGATTAGGAGCTCTAATTTCTTAATATTCCACTAAGAGCAACATTTTGCAGCCCAATCATTTTACAGCTGCAGGCAGTTTGTGTGAGAATCTCAGATAAAGAATAAAATAATCCTCGCTGCTATGCAATCAAATCTGTCAAATATTTGCTGAATGTATGAATCTGAGTCAAATATAGCTCAGCTCTCTACGGGACATAGGGGGATCGGCTCACCTCAAACTTGGACATGAACTCTGAAAAGATGCCGAAGAAGGTGTCTGTGCTGGTGGACTTGCCGTCCTCTCCGAAGTAGGATGCCACCTTGGAGAACTCCTCCATGGCTCGGCTCTGCAGAGACTCAAGAGACTGGATGGAAGGATGGCTGTTCTCCAGAAAACTCTGTGTGTAAAACAGGTAAAAAACTGTACTGAAACGGCTCAAAAAGGGTTTAGAGCAGGTACCTAGTAGCCTAGTGAACTAGACCAAATTCTTGCTTTGCAAAGTTTGGTCTAGGCACGCTCCATTAGAACCTCGGCAGCTCCTACCAGGACTCTGGCTAGCCAATCACAGCTCTCTAGAGGGGTTTCAAACACATAAAGAGCTGTGATTGGTCCATAATTGTGGGCCAATCATAGTGCTCTATCTGCTTAGTGAACAAATCACAGAGCTTTATCCGCTTTGTGGGCCAATCAGGGCACTCTATATGCCTGGTGGGTGGGATGATGCAACAGAGTGAAACAAGAGTATGTTACATTCATTGTCCAGTGGAATGCGGAGATCATTTGAAAGAAAACGGTAGAACCCGCCCCACAACCGAGAGCCGTCAATGGAGCATGGCCAGACGAAATAATACATTTATTTAGTCTGGCTTGCCAGGCTAGGTACCTAGTACAGCTCCGGGGATCGTCCAAACACCACGGTCATGAATATCACGTTACCTTTAGGGTTTGGGGGAACAGGAGGACAGAGAGGAGCAGGAATAACAAACAACACAGCCTGTATGATCAAGATCCGATGATGTTCTTTTCTATTTGCCTCTTTGTCTTTGTTTCATGCCTTTACATCACAATGGGCTGAAAGGGGAGAGAGAGAAGCTACAACTCTAGAAGCTCAACTGTTATTTGGACAAGAAAAATGTCTCCCGGAATAATGTTTCATGGTTAGACCAGACAAAGATGGAGATGTGTATCGATAAGTGCGCTGGCAACGGTGACCCAACTGTTAAGCATGGAGGTGTTAGCATCATGATTTGGAACTGGTGCAATATGATTAGATGGTTGAAACATGAACCAGTGGCAGCTCTTGCACAGGGATCGCTTTATTCTCATTTAATGTGATTTTAGGGATGCACCGATCCAAAACCAACTGGTATCGGTAAAAGTTTACCAATACCAATGCAGTTGCCTGAACGTGGCTTCACTGTAACTTGTCGTTTATGTTCACCTAATTTTTTATTTTTGTGATCATTTCTATTAATATATTTTATTATTTTATCTATTTCAGTCTTTTCCTGTTGAAAACAGAGACGAAAATAAAACCTGTATTCCAATTCACTGCATTTTTTTGTGTGGTAGAAGTATCGGTATCAGTAATCAGTATCGACGAGTACTCAGATACACGTATTGGTATTGTATCAGTTTGGAAAAAAGTGGTATTGGTGCATCCCTAAAAAGAACATCTGATTCAGTTTAGATGTTGGTTTAGTGCCACCTACTGGTGGAGCTGAGCATGCTTTGAGCAGATTATTAATTAAGGTACACAGCCTGAAAACTCAAGCTGGAAAAAATTAAGGACAAAATAAAATGTGCATAAGGACAAAAATGGACATTATGGACTACAGTAGACCTGCATATTTTTCAGTAATATTATTATATTCTAATTTATCTATAAATCTGAGAGTTGACCATCTGTCAAACAGCTTATTTGGTGAAGGAAATAAACGATTATTTTAGCGTTTTTCATTTGAATACTTTTCCACACATAGCCCCATCAAGAACTGTTGACAGCAGCTGCCACCGGCTTGGACCTCGTTCCACCAGGACAACGTCCACACACAGCAGGGACAAAATTTATAGCACAAATACACATGCCAATAAATACCGTGGCATGGACAGTTATAATGCTGAACTGGAAAACCAATTTTATGGTAAAAGAAGGTTTAGCGTACGCTCATGACTGAAGCAAAGTGGTCATCAGATGTCGCTGAGATCTTCTGACAGGCCGTCCTAATGTCCTGGATGGTGGAGTGCAGGTCGCTCAGCTCGGTTGTGATGGCCCTCTGGTTCACTAGACAGGTAACATAGGAGATGTGTTCTAATATAACAACCATTGCCATGACTGTTATGGTATAAACGTGGACATCGTAGAGCTCCGTTGGGTGATGAGATCCAGGAAAACTTTGCAAGTTTAGATTCTGACCTTTAGCAGCCAGAGGCACCGTCATTAGGTCTCTGGGAAAGTTCAGCAGCTCAGGGAAGTGTTGGCACAGAGACTTTGCCAGAATGTGGAGAAAGGTGGATTTTCCATCCACGGTTTTTGTCGTGCTCAGCTGCAGGAGATCAGACACGTTCAAACGAGCCAAAATCCAAATGTTAGCTAGTCAAAGCAAGTGTGTCTGAACTGTACCTCAGTGAGGAAGCTGATCTTAAAGCTGGTGGTCCTGTGGCTCTTGGGCTGCCCGTTGTTCAGGTAGTTACCCATTGCAAGAACAAACTGTTGATCAAAAGCTCTGTCAGCTGATGGATCTCTAACAGACGGCTTCACTTTGGATAATCTGCAGTAAAGGACTACCTCCAGGATTTTCGCTAGTTTCTTGCTGCTCTTCAGCTCCACCGAAGCCTTGTAGATGTAGTCGAACGCCACCTTCATCTCCTCCGTCCTCTCCTGCAGGGTCGTCTTAAAGAGGAGGCTCCTCAGACGGGTCTTGTACTCGGGCACCATCAGCATCTGAAGCACAGAGATCAGAGATCTAACTCTATCCTAGAACAATGTTCCTTTTTGAAGGTTTTTGTCCTTTTTCTGCAAGCACCTGGAAAATGAACTGGTCTGGCTCGCTCAGCTTGACCGGGTCCTGGTCGAACTGCTCGTACTGTTTGACCTCGTCCTCGTCGGGGGCGTAGAGCAGAAGCTGCTTGATGTGCGCCGGCTCCAGCCTGTCGGTGGTCATGTTCATCAGCACCTGACACAGCTCGTCGGGGGAGAGCTTCAGGTGGGCGATGAGGATGGCTACAGGGAGGAGGAAGAGGAGGGGGAGGGAAGAAAAAGGATTTAGCTCCGTTTTGACTAAACGATGAGGAACGCCGTGTTCCCGCTCCACTGAGAAACCTCTGCACTGCCTCTGCTGCGTATGAACGGGTCTAAAAATATTCCTGTAGCGTCTGGTTATAAAACACGGGTTTGTAAAGTAAAGAAGTGAATACATAAAGTCAAAATTCAGCCCTGTGATGTTAATTAACCTCCTCATTTTATTTTTCAGATTAATTACAAACATACCTTTATAAATTTGATCTTAAATACATATTTATAAATGACATATAAACAAAAACTATTTTTCCTCCACATCGAGAGGAGCCAGTAGAGGTGGCTTGGGCATCTAGTTAGGATTCCTCCTAGTGAAGTTTTCCGGGCAAGTCCAACCGGGAGAAGACCCACAGAAAGACCCAGGACACGTTGCCAGGGAACGCCTTAGTATTCCTCTGGAGGAGCTGGCCCAAGTGGCTGGGGAGAGGGAAGTCTGGGCCTCTCTGCTTGGGCTGCCGCCCCTGCGACCCGACCCCGGATAAGCGGCCGCAAATGGATGGATGGATGAATTTTGAAAAATTTCAATCAAATTACAATACTATACGTGTTTCTCTCAAGCAGAAAAGTATGGTGGCCTAGAAGGTTCAATGGAATACAAAATCTGCAACACAACAGCAAAACCTACAAGGAAAGTGATAATAAAACGAAATTTTTTTTAATAAAACAGCATAAAACTTCATTTGTGTTCATTTAGTACTTATGAAGTTATGCTATTTATGCCGAAATGTGTCAAATCGTATTATGAGCTAGAATATCGTTTTACCATTTTAATAACAGCAAGGTTACTCCATGAGCTAGCTGTTATTAGAGACGACAGGCTAATACCATTCTATTGATACGCTCGGTGTCACTTCCAGTCAACAAGGGAACGAAACCCTTTACCAACACAGCTTCAGACTCAGATCCCCTCATGTTAGGAATGTTCTCTCTGAGAGCAGGAAGTACTTACAGGCGTTGTAAGCTTTCTTATGGGACAGGATCTCAACCACGTCTTTCTTTTTAAAGTTGTCTGGCAGGAAGGCTGGCTCTGGAGGAGAAACTGATCATTTTAACATGCGTGTAAGTACTTGTTCTCCAGGCACCGGGGCTTCCAAACATACTCAGAGTTTCAGTGCCAGCTTGAGGTGAATTGATGGTTTGATGACAGAGTTTGGCCATTAGTGACTTAGGCCCAGATTCACAGAAAATGTGCTTTATTTAAAAGGACACTTTGCAACTTCTTCATATTTTTATGAAATATAAAATTCCTATTTTATTTTATGGCCGCAGTCGGCGATATGGGCTGGGTGGCCTTTCGTCAACCCTGTAAAGGGTCATTTTAGCACCTACTGGCTCAAGAAAATGATTTAAAAACATGAAAAAGTTTCAAATAGTCCCTATAATAAAATAGAAATGGGATTTTCACACACCTCTGACTTTTTATAAATGCAATAATGGCTGATACTCATCTAGTGAATTAGATTTTTCCTGACACGCCTGCCCTTGTTTTGTGAAGACAGCAGTGCAACAAGCTGCTCCTTTTGTTGTTTTTATTTGTAACACCACCAGCTCTCACAGATGATAACTGTATGAGAATCAGATGATTTTTGCCTCAGCAGTAATGTTATGCATTAATGAAGGGGCAATACTTAAACAGCACTTGCAAAAGACAAGCAATCCTTCTGTGAATTTGGGCTTCAGATCATGGCTGAACTTGAACAAAAGTGGGGATAATGATGCCTCATGGAGAACAGATATGAGGTGCAGGTAAATGGATCGGCTTCACAGCAGCACATGGAAAACATCACAACTGTAAATGCACAAAACAAAACAGGTGATGTCAAAAAGCAGGCAAATGTAAGATAATTCAAAATAAACTGTTTATCTGATTAACCTAAAAGTGACAAAGATGAAAACTATGACATGGCATGATGAGGCTAGCGTTTATGTTAAAGGTCTTACTGCATCTGCGCTGAGTCCCAAAGTGCAGGTCGAGGTCTAAGTACTTCACCATGTCGCTGAGCTTGTCGTAGTCTGAATCCTCTCCAAGCTAAAACCAGAAAGGCACCATTAAAGGTGCATGCTATAAGAATGGCATCCTTTGGTCAAGTGTGGGTACTGCAGCCAAACCAGTGACTCTCACTCCCGTTCCGTGAGTTTCACGGCTGTTGCCAGTTACTGCCAGAATATTCTCGATGGCGAGTGAAGACGAGCCATACACAGTACATTGACACGTTTCACAGTAATATCAAGTTGTTGGTAATAAAAAAAGTAGCTTGAAATATTTTAGAGGTGACTATTAGCTTCTAATTCACAGTTAACATTGTTAATAGGGTTAGGCATCGAGCATCGACTGGAACCGGTTCCAACTGTTCATTTTTCCCGGAATCACTCAACGTTTTATATTTCGATTCCTAGAATACCGACGGAAGAGGAATCCGCGGCCGATCTCCGTGAAAAATAAACGGGATCTGCAAATTGTGGTCAACTCTTTTCAGAGCTGATCACACCAGCTGTCTGTCTGCAGCACCGAGTCCCCCCTCCCCCCACCCACATATAAACAAACGTGTCTGCCGAACTATTACTCCGTAATGTAAACTTTAACTCCTGCAGCGTAGAGGAAACTTGTTAAAATACGTCAACACGGTGGATTTAATAGAAGCTTTAAAGTACAAACTCTGGACGGTGTGAGGTGAGTTTGTCTTACTGAGGAAATAAAAACACACACGGAGCGTCAGCAGTCAGACACGTGAGCGTCAGAAGGCTGAACAATAACCTGTAGAATAATTAAAGTCATCATGCTAGAGAAGCTTCTCTGTGGTGGACCACACCAGCTTCTGCCACAATAAATAGTTATAATAATAATAAATCACACACAAAGTTGACATTTTAATTTCTTTTCTGAACTATTTCTGTTGAGTTTTAATGTTTAAAACTGTTAGATTGTTACTGACAGCAGCTACATTTAAGTTTCTGTTCTGACTGAATGCTGCTGCAGCATGGAGGTGCAGTTCTCAGTCATCCTTGACATGATCATCCTGAGAGCTTTAGCTGAAAATAGCTGGACGTTTCTGGATATGTTGGAGACATTTAGCCTCTCATCCCAGAGGATTCTTCCACACTTTGGTTGTGGTCAGACACAAACACACTGGTTGTGCTGCAAGTCTTTTTCTTTTGTTCTCCAAAACACGTTTTTGTCTAAATGAAGGTGATGTTATTGTTCATAGAATTAAAATTCATGTTGAAGTTAAGATTATTTCATCAAGTAGGACCTGTGGTTAGCTGGCTCATGTAAAACATGTCTTCAAAGAATCGGAATCGGGAATCGATAGGAACCGGAATCGAAACGAGGAATTGGAATCGGAATCGTTCATAATCAAATGATGCCCAACCCTACTCAACGATAGCCTCTAGATCTTTTTACCTGATATCAGAGTAAACCTAAGAATGCCGTGGCTTCTTAGGGGAACAAGAAATAACTTCTGGGCCACTCCTTTTACTGGCTAACAAACTGTCTACAACTGTGGAGCAATTTGCCGGCCGGTGTGAAATTACAAATGCCGATGGGCAATCGCCGGGCAACCCCGCAGGCTCATGGATTGTAAACAAAGTCTATATCCCTCTTTGGCCTTTTTAAAAGGAGAAAAACTGGCCTCCACTCAGTTGGCTGAGAAATAAATCTGTTTCAGCATGATTGAGACGACAAACTGTTTATTAATGATTTCATTGTTATATTCCCAGCTCCGGGTGCAATCTACTGTCATCTCCTGCCTCAATTACTGCAATGCCCTTCTAACTGGTCTTCCAGGATGTACTGTGAGACCTCTTCAAATGGTCCAGAACGCAGCGGCGCGTCTGGTCTTCAATCAGCCAAAAAGAGCACATGTCACCCCTTTGTTAATTGAGCTCCACTGGCTACCTCTAGCTGCACACATCAAATTAAAATTGCTAACACTAGCATACAAAGTCCGAGATGGTACGGCTCCCATCTACCTGAATCCTCTTGCAAAGGCTCACGTCTCGGCCCGGCCGCTCCGGTCATCACAGGATCGTCGGCTAGCAGTGCCTACACCACGCTCAGGACAATCCAGACTCTTCTCATGCATCGTTCCACAAATGTGGAATGACCTACCAAGCACTACAGTACAGGGGCTTCCTTTTCAATTTTCAAGAAACTCCCGAAGACCCTGCTCTTCAGAGAGCATCTTCTAAACTAGCACCTTCCCTGCACCCGTCCCCCCCTCTCTACTGTCCGCTCCTTGTTCCCTACTCTCCATGATTGATGTCACGTTGTTGTTGTTATTGTTGTTGTTAGCCTCAAGGGCAACATGCCGATTATCACTTGTAAGTCACTTTGGACAAAAGCGTCTGCTAAAAACATAAACATATTGTCTTAATAACTTGTGCCCTTTAGCCACTAGACCTGCTAGATCCTCTCAGTCGCACCCTTGGCTAAATGATACCCTCCAGTCTCTACGCACCAATCTTAGAGCTGCGGAACGGAAATGACGCAAAACAAAAGATCCTGGTGATCAATTGAAATTTCATGAATTACTGTCCTCATTCTCTGCCAGCATCACTGATGCAAAGAAAGCTTTCCACACTGACAAAATTCTCAGCTCTACTGACACTCCGAAACTATTTTCGACATTCAAAACACTGCTCAACCCTCCTTCTCCACCTCCACCTCTACCAACAATCTATCAGCTGACACCTTTGCCTCATTCTTCACTGACAAAGCAGCTATAAGCAAACAGTTTACTCAACTGGCCACTCCTGAACATTCACCACCACAAACTCCTTCTAGCCCAACCATCTCAGCCCCTGCTGCTTCATTTTCCTCTTTTTCCCCTCTCACTGAGAACTGTGTGTCCAAGCTTCTCACGTGCAGCCTCCCAACTACATGCCCACTTGACCCCATTCCGACTAAGCTGCTCCAAGCTATTGCTCCTACAGTAGCCGCAGCAGTCACACATGTGATCAATGCTTCACTGACATCCGGTACATTTCCCACCTCTCTCAAGCATGCTCAGGTTAAACCGCTGCTAAAAAAAAAAAACATCTCTTCCTCCAAATCATGTGGAGAACTACAGACCTATCTCTCTCCTCCCTTTTCTGTCCAAAATCATTGAAAGGGTGGCTTTCAAGCAGATCACAGAATACCTCTCACAAAACTGTCTGCTTTACCCTTACCAGTCTGGGTTCAAAAAGGGCCACTCCACCGAAACTGCTCTGTTAGCAGTGACAGAATCCTTAAAAGAAGCTAGAGCGACTGCCAAATCCTCAGTGCTTATCCTGCTCGACTTATCGGCTGCATTTGACACTGTCAACCATGGCTTCCTTTTGTCCACACTCTCTAGCATGGGCATCACAGAGAAAGCACACGCCTGGGTTGAATCGTACCTCACAGGACAATCATTCAGTGTATCTTGGCTTGGACAATCCTCTACCGTGCACCATCTTGCCACAGGAGTCCCCCAGGGCTCAGTACTAGGACCTCTTCTCTTTGCCATATACACCACCTCACTGGGTGAGATCATTCGATCACATGGCTTCTCCTACCACTGCTATGCAGACGACACCCATGTCTATCTGTCATTTCCACCGGACGACCACACTGTCTCTGCACGAATATCAAACTGTCTCTCTGACATATCAAAATGGATGAAATCCCACCATCTCCAACTCAACCTCTCTAAAACTGAACTACTTGTCATCCCAGCAAAACCATCCATACAGCACAATATCTCAATCCAAAATGACTTCCTGTCTCTGGCTCCTTCAAAGGCAGTTCGAAATCTGGGTGTTGTGATTGATGAACACCTGACCTTTAAAGATCATGTTGCCTCTGTTGCTCGTTCATGCCGCTTTACGCTGTATAACACACAAAAGATCAGACCATACCTAACACAACATGCCACCCAGCTTCTGGTGCAATCTACTGTCATCTCCTGCCTCGATTACTGCAATGCCCTTCTAACTGGTCTTCCAGGCTGTACTGTGAGACCTCTTCAAATGATCCAGAACGCAGCGGCGCGTCTGGTCTTCAATCAGCCAAAAAGAGCACACGTCACCCCTCTGTTCATTAAGCTCCACTGGCTACCGCTAGCAGCACGCATCAAATTCAAATTGCTAACACCAGCATACAAAGTCAGAGATGGTACGGCTCCCATCTACCTGAATCCTCTTGCAAAGGCTTACATCACAGGATCGTCGGCTAGCAGTGCCTGCACCACGCTCAGGACAATCCAGACTCTTCTCATGCATCGTTCCACGAATGTGGAATGACCTACCAAGCACTACCAGAACAGGGGCTTCCTTTTCAATTTTCAAGAAACTCCTGAAGACCCTGCTCTTCAGAGAGCATCTTCTAAACTAGCACCTTGCCTGCACCCGTCCCCCCTCTCTACTGTCCACTCCTTGTTCCCTCGTCTCCATGATTGATGTCAAGTTGTTGTTGTTGTTATTGTTGTTGTTAGCCTCAAGGGCAATATGCCGATTATCACTTGTAAGTCGCTTTGGACAAAAGCGTCTGCTAAATACATAAACATATATTCTTACTTATTGCACCTTTAAAGATTTATGTCCAAAGATCACATTATGAACATCTATCTCAGATTTGATCCTTTGAGATTAAAACTTTTTAATAAATCTGTAGTGAGAGCCTTTGATCGGACTGTTCTTTTCTTGTTGTGACTCATCTGAGGCACAAAAGGAGCTTTCTCCAATGTGGGACAAGAGATGTAGGAGTGATAAAACCTGCTGCCAAAGTGGGAAGGCTCCTAGTTGGATATTTTCTGAGATGTGTGTTTATCTGTGTGTGCCTGCCAACAGACCAACCAGGAGAACGGGAGGTCAGCGCTCACCTGGCCCCAGATTGTTCCCTCGGAGTTCTCCACCTGCTCCCAGCGCAACCTCTTCACGCTCATGTGGTTGGAGTCCGAGGCCTGCTGGCCCAGCTTGGGCAGCGGAGGTGGGTCACAGGGTGGAGGCAGGGGTGGAGGAGGTGGGGGCGGAGCCTTGTAAAGACCAGTGAGATGTTCCCAAATCGTGTTTTTAACCAAATAAACACAAGCAGGCCACATTTAAAGAGTAGGATGCGGTTGATGTGTTCTTTATGTTACATCTCTGGAGCTAGAATGATTGGAATGAAAATTATGGAGGGAAAATACAAGATAACCAAATAAAATGTCACCTGCTGGGACTGCCGCTCCTGGGGAATGGTCTCAAAGCTCTTGGAGTGAGTGGAGAGGACGGAGGTGGAGGCTGGAGCCTTTGAGAGCAGAGCGGAGCCCACGGGGCCTAGGCTCTGATGCTGCGTTGGGCTTGGATCCTGCAGGGACGTAGGCGGCGGGCCCTGGTAGCTGTGCTGGTGGTGGAGCTGGTAGTGCCTCTGGAGGACGAGCTGGCTCGGTCTCAGTGGCAGGGGGGAGGGCTGCGGTGACGGCTGGCGGGTGGGTTGGGGCTGGCTGAGCTGGCGTGGTAAGTAGGCAGGGTGTGAGGAATGGGAGGAGCGCAGGGTGGAGGAATCAAGTGGGGCGTGGCCTCGTGAGAGCCGGGTAGAGGTAGTTCTGAAGCGGTGGTGAGTCTTTTCTACCTCATCTCTGGTGGGGAGAACTTTGTGTAGAGGGGAGCGGCTGGTGAGGAGGGTCCTAAGGGGGGGCGGGGGAGGGGGGATGATGGGGTGGTGAGGCTGGAAGGGCATCCTGCTGCGGGGGACATGCTCTGGGGAGAAGCGAACTGGGGGCAGAGTGTCTGTAAACTGCACAGGAGGAGGTATGAGAGACTGGAAAGGTGGGGGAGGCGGGGGACTCTGGTTGGGAGGTGGTGGGATTGGTTCTGATCCAGAGGAGTAGGTGGGGGAGGACGCCTCATCGCTGCTGCTGTGGTCCTCGCTGCTGCTTCTGCTGAGCTGTCGGGAAATGAAGCCCACGTCCTGGTCCTCAGGGAAGCTCATCTGGAGGGGGAGAGTTCTGTCATCAGACCCAATAACAATCACCTCCACCTGATCTCCAGCTGCATCTGCTAGTCTTAGTTCAAACTTACACCCACGTTTAGGATTAAAGTATCTCACTGGGCTGGGACCTCAGGCAACTAATGGGACACTAAAACTTGGGGAAAATACACAAATATTGAGAAACTGTTTAATTCACGACTGCTGAGCAAGATCTGTAGGAGTTCTATGTTGTGTCAATGTTCCAGAACCTTCTCAGGAATGTCCAGAGACAACAAGGGAGTGAGCTTAGCTGTGTGACTTATGCAAGAAAACCAAGGCTCCCCATGAGCTAATTGGTACAATTTAGAAACTACTGTGCAATACTGAACAGCCCAGCGAGATACCAGCTTCAGGCTCTTTACAGGTGGAACTGCAGGAAGCAAGTCTTGCTCAGCTGACTGCTCAGACATGAAGGCACAATATATAAAAGCTTAAAATTACACATTTAAGCTCCACTTTTTTTTCGCTTCAGTGCAGCGGTTCTCAAACTCTTCATGTCGTGCCTCCTTAGGCAGAAGACAATATTTTAGCTTTTCCAAAACAACATAATTACACCAAAGCAAGGCTAGATAAACTGTTAAATGCATTAAATCTTGAGTTTTGAGTCCTTTTTTGTCTAGAGACCTCATCTATGTTGTAAAAATAAAATAAACTGGGTTTAGCCTTTCGATCTGGGTTGTGTTCACCTTATAGGTTATCTAATCGCCATGGAAACATGAAATGTGAAAATCAAGTCTGAATAGCAGCTAGATTTATTCTGCCAGCAAGTTTTAATGGTAAATAAATCAATAAAATAAGAAATAAACAAAATAAAACCAATAGCACAAATTAAAATTACAAAATAAAATTTTAAAAATTAAATGTTTAAAACCTCAAATAAAAAAGATTAAATAAAGAAATAAAGAACAAAACCAAAAACAGAAAATGACAAACTACAAATATATTAATTAATAAAATCAAATCAAAAACATTAAACAACATAAAAAAACACATATGTACATAAGATTATAAATAATGTACGTTTTAGAAAACTTAACATGAAATAAAAGGTTAAATATAAAAAAAAGACAAAAAATGTGAAATCAAAAAAAAGAAATGAAAATTTTTTAATAAAATAGGGAAAAAAAACAAATAAAATAATAAAAACACTGAATTAAATATAGAGTACTACATTTCATTAACAGCATAAAAAACTAAAATAAAATGACACGGAGCACATCCCATAGTTTGAGAATCGCTGCTTTAGGGACAACAAAAGCTGCATGATTTGCATCACATTTTTAAACATGCATACTAATATCTGCCGTACTCAGCAGTCCCATCCGTTTGTGGATGACAACACTTCCTGTGTTCTGACCTCATTCTTAACATAAACTCCCAAATTATTGGACAAAAGAAGGGAAGTTTTCCTGCAGACTGCATTCCCAGCCAGAAGCAGGCAGATATTATTAGAACCGGACTCTGCAATCAGGTTTTACTTACATGCACACCTCTTCTTCTGAAACCATGACAACCACCTTGATATATCTGTTCATGTGACACAAGCGTTCATTGTAGCGAACATCAGAGCTGCTCTACTGTGAACATGCAACACCACAGTGAGTCGTTTCTGTTGGTGGGAGTTTGCACGTTGTTGCAAATTCACACACAAAAGAATGTGAGGCTTCTACACCAAACTGAACCGTTAAGAAGATGTATACATTGCTCATAGTTAATAATCATATAGACGCAATAAGTGTGAAACTTGACGCATTAAAATTGCCCCCTAACAGCTAGGAGGTAAGAAAAAAACAGAGTTGTTCTTCTAATGTAGATCACGGCAGCTAAGTCTGGGAGATCTGGGTATTTTATCAACTTAAAGCTCTCTAGTCTTTGGTTAAGTGTTGTGATAGCTGTGTGCTGTTGTGTGGCTGCTCCCGGGACTTGAACCAGTCATCGAGACTTGGTAATAAACAAACTCACTGACTTTTATGACCAAATTTACCACAAAATAAGACTTGTTTAAACTCTGACATGAAAGACGGTTGAAGATAAACTTCCCTTCTGGGAATACTCAGCCTGTTCTGTGCCCAAACTCCCGTTCTATCTTGACTAATGAAGCATCACAACCATTTATGTAAAGATATTCTCCCTCGTTTTCTTCTGGAAAGCCCAAAGTTGTGGTGGAGAAATCCTAATTACCTGACTTTTTAGAGAAAAACAACACGTTCTAAGAGATGGGATGTATGTTTTGTGTACCTCTTCATAGTCGTTCTCCCCGGGTACAAAGTCATCCACCAGAGTGACCCGGTGGCCAAGCTGCTCGCTCAGGGCATCCAGGAACTTGTCCGTGTCCCGGCTGCGAGGCGGCCGAGAAAAGGTGAACAGCTTCTTCCGGCGCGTCAGAGTGTTGGGCCCGCTGTCCAGAGGCTGAGGGGAGGCGGGGGAGCTCTCCAGGCTGACGTAGGGGTTGGACTCCACACTGCTCTGGTGCTGGATCTCATACACGGTGGTGGGGAGGGGCTCCTTCCAGGACAGGGTAAGGCCGGACTTACGGTTACCTGGAAATAATGATAACCACATGTCTAATCCACCTGTTCACACCTTCCACATCATGTCAGGTGGATTTCCTGTGAGGTAACTTTGGCAACAGGGAGAGTAAATGCTGGCGTGTGCGCACATGTAGATTTCAGGGTTTGAATGAGTGTCAGCTCATTCAAAAATCAGCTGTTCTCATGTCGTGTTCATATCAGAGAGCACCTCGCTCGTTTTCCATACCGTAACATCAGAAGGTGCTCAAATTCAGGAAGTCTGACATGAACGTGACATCAGTCACCTGCCACCTGGGTCCAAAATTTGCTGCTTTTGTTACAGTTTTATGTCTGATTTTAACCATATCTGATGCAAAAGTTGGACCTAGTTGGCCATTTGCTTAAAACTGCTGATGAAAGCTTGTGTTATTTGTTTGTGTGCGTGTGTGTGTGTGTGTGTGTGTGTGTGTGTGGGCCCCAGAGTACCTGTGAGGGGGGGCAGTGTGAGGGGGGAGAGAGAGCGGCCGAAGGCCTCAGTCTGCCCCGCCACCTCAGTCTCTGCGGGGGAGCCGCTCTGCAGCGGGGACACACTCTTCCCTGCGTACATGTTCTCCAGCTCCGTGTACACACCTGTCATCTACGGGTGAAGGCATGACGAGCCGATTAGCGCACAACCGCTGTGTTCCCTTTGAAGGTGTGCAGCATTCAAAGGTTCAAACGCTTTGATTTGATTTCAGCTGCTGTTGAACTGCAGCAGACCTTCAAATAGCATGAGAGCACATTTAATGTTTGTTGTAGAGGCGGCGACAAGCTGCAGGTATACCTACATGACTAAGGTCCGGGGACTCGGGGAAGGAGGTTCCGTCTCCCGACTGCCTCTCCTCCGGGCTCCCAGATTCATCGATATGAATTCCTAAAGCACAATACAGCATGAAGAGAGACAAATGTAGGTAAGCTTCCTCCATCCATCCACCTCCAGGCAGGAGGAGAGAAGATGAAGCAGAGGAGCAGCATGGAGGAATGGAAAAAAGCCTAAATCTTGACTCCTGGTGAAGGAGTTTGCAATGGAAATGAAAAACGTGACGCCTGAAGCGCCGTCAGCTGGAAAAACACCAAAAGCAGAGACTGCTGCGATGAGTGATTCATGTTTGAAGTGGTGATGCAGACACACTTAGCTCAGCACTTCGTTTCCCCTTGCACGAGTCTACGGTGTTTTTAACTGTTGCACGCCGCCTCACCTGGGAGCTGACCGGTGCAAATAAGGCTTTATTACAGATCTCACAGCTGCTCATCCACAGAAACCAGAGGTAGGCTCAAAGGAAGTGTTTCTCATTTACTGTCTGTCTATCGTCCTCCAGGGATTTCACTCACAATAAAACACGATGCAATTCATGATTCATGAGGAGAATATTTACATTTATTAGCTGTGTTTAAACCTTTAATCTCAAATAACATGTGTTTAATTAGGTTTGTGACACTTAACAAGTGGATTTTTAAAGCTTTGCCACTGGAAAGCAGCGGTTTCCATCAGATCAGTGAAAGTAAAACCAAAACCATCCTCTGGACTAAAGCTTTCTCTACATTTGTGGTTTTTGTTGAATAAATCAACAAATCTCCTTGAATGATTTTGACCTGCGGACCCACGAGAGTTGCGGTTTCGCTGGCATACCCATTCCTAAGTGAGTCCCGATGATGCAGTCATCGGAGCTCCTCTCTCGGATGCTGCTGCGGTATGAGGTCCCAGACACACGCACAGAGCTGGTCCGTCGGTGGTGATCCGAAGTCCCGTCGGGATCCAGCACCACTGCAAAACCCAATGTGGCGTCAGCACTGCATTCTGCACAAATATACTCTGTGTTGGACTTAAAAATGAAAGGTGAGCATTCAGTTTCTGATATTCAAAATTATTAGTACAATAAAGTCATTTTTTATACTGCATCAAATCAGTCATTGCATCGTTTTCAATCATATATCGTATTATATTGTAACGGATCACTGATGTTGCATCATCTGGTAATGGATGATACCATCTCGTATGACAGCCAGCAGCCCACAGACACATCTGAGTGGCGGTGTTTATATCTCCCATCACATGGCTCACCGCTGCTCTTGAAACCGAGGAAGCGGGACAGTTTGCTCTGGCAGTGCTCCTGTTCCTCGTAGGTCAGTAGCTGGTAGATGAACTGCCAGATCAGCTGTTTGGCTGGAGTGTCCAACACTGGAAACACATCGACTATCAGGGTGTCCACGTTCCTGCAAACACAACACGTAGTGGTTACATAACCCTCCCGTTTGCTGCTGTGTGACTGGTTCCCATTCAATGTGAGGATTTTGTTTACTTTTCTGTTCTGTGCATATGCAGCGGCAGACTGAGGCATGTGAGTGGGAGGATGAAGCCAGTTATGGGTGGGTTTATGCCTTTGGGTTTAGTATTTATACTGTATTCTGGGACGGCAGTAGTGTATTCTGCTGCCTCACATCTTTGCACGCCTTCATCCATCACCCACCCCTCTAAATGTCTATCCATCTCTGCCAACTGCCTTTAAAAGGCCCTTGGCTGTTTCCTAAGCAGCTCTAATCAGTATTAGTCAGTTGAAGTATTAAATGTTTTACAATTACAAGAAACTTTGGCAAATCACTTTCAGAAGGGCCATCCAGTTTCATGTTTTCTTTCCATTTTCTGGAAAATATCTTAAAAAATCGGCGAATCGCCTGCTTACCTGTGCTGGAAGAAGGTCTCCAAGGATTTGCAGACGGTGTATCTCTCCTGAATGGTCAGCAGGTGCTCCAGCTGCTGGCTGAAGGTCCGTCCGTGGACTTTGATGCTCGGAGGAAGGATCTCTGCCACCCACTGGAGAGAGCTGAGAGCTGGAGACCTGCAGAAATGAAGCAGGACTGCCATTGTTTTTCTCCCTCCTTTATTTTAAAACAGCAGAGAGTGCTCATTTTAGTTTGTACCCACCTAGAGCGTGGTAGCGTGGTTGGAACCAGACTAGAGGAATCATCTGGGTCGGTTTGGTCAGAAGAGAAGTCAGACGGCCCCTCCTCCACCACCAGGGTGGGCATCCCCCCACTGCCCTGCAGCATGGAAACCACCTTCTCATGGGAACAGTTCCTACATCAAGATAAAACAGAGAATTTCTATTTGATTGACAGAACAACTAATGGATGTTTGAAAGCTCCATGCTGTGGTGAAATTTATCTGGATGCAGATATTTTCACAGATTAAGAACAATAATAGCAACAAAAAAATACCCCAGCAGATTAAAGGTGCCCCAAAGGCACCCCTCCCCCAGTGGCTGGCTGTGGTACAAGTGCTAAGTCCTGCACTCCATGTAAACAAATAAAACATTTACCTGAATTAAGACTACACACACCTCTGATCTTTATTTTTACAGATGTTTACTTTTTATGGGCTTCTATAATTTTTCTTTATGTTCAAATATTCTAATTTATTTATGACAAATTAGTTATTTGATGCTCCATTTGATAATCCTGTTTGAAGTCTTTGCTGGATCTTTTCTTAAAGAGCAAGTCACCCCCTAACAGAGTCTTGCTGCACCCACACGTCCTGTTTGAAAAAATCACCACAAGGAGGCGGTGCCTGGCAGACCGAGTGAGCAAGGCTAAAGCAGTGAGTGACAGACCACACCCCCGCTCAGAGGGAGAAAGCACAGCTCACTTCTTAGTCTCTGATAGCGATGCTAGCTCTTTTGCATCAGAGCAGTCCTGCTACAAACAATCAAGTCTTTGGCGATTTAATGTAGCATAATGATCGCCTAAGGTTAGGGTTAGGCTCACTTGTTCGTTTCTATGGGGATAAATACATTTCATGCGATGCGGAGGATCCTGATGTATAGGTTTATCTGCCGGCTAAGCAGAAGAGGCGAGCAGCCCTGAGCTGGTGCCCCGAGTGCCGAGCTGTAAAAAGTTTTTTGCAATTCCAACTTCAACTCACTGCAGAGGAGTAGTTGAGCCGTTTTATATCCCCAGTGGTAGTGCAGCTGACATCTTATGGTGCCGGCTAACATCACAGGGTACCACTAAAGCCCCATTCCCACCTGTACCGGGTCGGCCCGGGCCGGGTAGCCCCAGTCGGCCCCAGCCTGGCCCGGTTGATTCCACACATCCTTGCCTTAAGCCCATGTGGGCTGATTCTACCCACCAATCAGAGGCTTGCTCTAATGGAAGGTGTGAATGGGCTGATTCTACCCACCAATCAGAGGCTTGCTCTAATGGAAGGTGTGAATGGGCTGATTCTACCCACCAATCAGAGGCTTGCTCTAATGGAAGGTGTGAATTTGCTGTCAGCAGTGGGTGTGTTGGCCCTGGTCGGCCTGAAGCAGTACCCCTCGGGAAGAGGGCCGAGAATGAGCCTTGGTTGGCCCGGGAAAATTCCAGGCCACCCAGATATGTAAACAACCTACGCTACCCGGCCCGGGCCGACCCGGTACAGATGGGAATGGCCCATTAGGCAATAGTGGTGGCTCATTAAATTTCAATGTAGTGCAGAGTTTTAACTGAAGAGGGCGCCACACTGAGGGGCTTAGGCTTGAATATTGTCTTTATTAAAATAAACGTTGATTTTAGGGTGACTTGATTTTCAGGTACTTTTCATCTGCAGCTGATCTTATTTTTGGTCTGCCCTTTTTTTCTCATTTTTCAAGCACAAATTGCCCCATGTGCTGCGATGACAGCAGGAGCATCGTTGAGGTGCATGGCAAAAAAAAAAAAGTAATAAACCAGCCAGTCTAAAGGAAAAACCTTGAAATACTCCTAGAAATTCTGATTAAATTTATAATACAATGAGAAATTCTGGCTGCTTGAAAGTAAGTCATACAAAAAAGAAGTATGATAAATGGTGTCACTACATCTGAGCGGAGTAAGCAATTATCATATTTTACCATTCAGCTGTTATTCATCTGGAACTCAAACAAATCCGGCACTTCTGTTTTCTCCCTCTGTTGAGCGTCGTTCATTAATCAGTTTCCCTCTGGGATTAATAAAGTATTTTTGAACTGAATTGAATTGAATCAGATCACCTGTTCCTGCTGCAGCGCCGTGTTATCACGCCGAGCGACACAATTATACAGCGCAAATCAAATCAGCCCGTCATGCAGCCATGGGAACAGCTCCGCATTGCTCGGCTCACATAGCGACCGTGCTGGGCTGATGATTATTGCTGCTTCTTTAGACATATAAATACACTGGCTTATAAGATGTGTTTGAGTTCATGTTGGTTCAAATCTGTTTTATCCACTCGTGACTTCTTGTTTCCCTCCCACACTTACTTGTTGAAAAAGCCCAAGTTTAAGAAGTAACTAAGACCTATTCTGACTCCCACAACAGGACTTCAGTTTATGTAAAGGGTGTGATCACATGCATCCTCTCATGCAGGCTGTACATACTCAGATAAACATGCTTCAAAACTTAGTAATGTTTGTAACTTTTACGTCCTTCTGCATCCTCGCTGACCAGGCTGTAGCAGTGCGCCTGTTGGTGAAGTTTAAAGCAGATCACCACTGAGGATGCTGCCTGTGTGTCTGGTTCTGACGATCTTAAATCACTTGTGACTTCTTCACCAGCTTTTTTACTTCTGCCCTTCTCCTGATTCATATTCAGTCAGAGTTTCAGATCAGCAAACATATTTCGACATCAGACAAAGATGGTTAATTGTTTCTGGTCTGTGGGAGGAAACAGAAGAACCTGGAGAAAACCCTCACATGCATGAGGAGAACATGCTAAGTCCACACAGAAAAGCTGCAGCTGAGTTTTAAACCTGAAACCCTGCTGTGAGGCAACAGTGCTACCACCTGCACCACTATCCATCTAACCAGGGCTCTGTGTCAGAATGTAAATTAACTGGATGCAAAAACTGCAATTAAGCCTTTGGGATGACTAATAATGAGTCTCTCACATCACAGTGGAGCAGCTTAATCTTGATCTACTTTACAGAAATGGCTTAATTCAGCCACGTTAGAGGGTTCGCCAGTATGAACGGCTTGTTTAAGGTCAAAGGTCAGTGGACGAACATCCGACTGCATGGACCATCAACTACCTCACCAACAGTCCATAGTATGTGAGGCTGCACAACTGTACATCTGAGGTGGTTGTGTGCAGTACTGGAGCTCTGCAGGGTACGGCGCTCTCACCCTTTCTCTTCACCCTCTTCACTTCGGACTTCACCTACAACACCAGCAGCTGTCACCTCCAGGACCCTCTGAGGGGAATCACCTGGAGTACAAGTCCGTCATCATGGACTGTGTGGACTGGTGTGAGCGTAACCACAATGCTTGAACACCAGTAAACAAAGGAAATGGTGATTGACATCCAGAGAAACACTCCTCCTCACTCACCAGTAAACATCCAGGGTGCAGACAATGAGATGGTGGACACCTTTAAGTACCTGGGTGTTCACCTCAACAGCAAACTGAACTGGTCCAACAACACAGAGGCTCTGTATGAGAAGGGTCAAAGCTGCCTCCACCTCCTGAGGAGGCTGAGGTCCTTCTGAGTTCATTCCCATCTGCTAAAATCCTTTTATCACTCTGTGGTTGGCTCTGTTATCCACTCTGCTGTGGTCTGCTGGGGCGCAGGCAGCTCCAACATCCCCTCCACAGCAAGAGTGTATAACTCGTGAGTTAAACTGGTACTGGCATTATCCTGTTACACAATAACACCAATGCAATACTCAGTATGTGCTCAAAACTTGTGCGATACCAGATTTACACAGTATGTCTGTGTCACTCACAGTATGCTGCATAGTGCTGGAACCCACGTTTTTATTTTTTATTTGTGGTTTTAGGTGGTCGAAGGTTACAATACTAGATTACCGCCTATGTGTATGCACATGTACCGTTGTTGTTTTCTAGGATGTTCTGCTACAGAGCAGATTTCATGGTTGCATCAGTTACAGCAGGTGACCTTAAAGCAGCCCCAGACCACTACACCGCCACCATATCTGACGGTTGCTATGATGCTGTTTTAGCGTTAGCTTGAGTCCAGACGGAACGGGACGCTCACCTTACAGAAAGCTCCACTGTTGCCTCACCAGTCTGGTGGATCGTCAGGATGTTTTTGTGTGTGCACAAGACTTTGGATTTGGAAATCTCCCATGAGGCCACTGTTACCCCCAGTTTCTTTCTTATAGTTGAATCGTGACCTCAGATTTGAACCCTAACACATTTTTAGGATGGAACATGATGTTTTACTTTTTTAGATCTTTTAGGATGTCAGACAGGTTTTGTTAAAGTGATTGTTAATCCTACAGGTCTGGGCGGGGCTGGCAGAACTTAACTCTCTTTTCTAAATATTCTGTTTAATCATAGTTGATTTATTATTTAACCAGGAGGGAAATAACTTTCTAACGCTGAGCCGATGTTTCTACATAGAAAAAATCTAGGTAATGAAGGAGTTCAAACAATAAATGTAGGTTGTGGATTACATTATTTGGCCATGAAAGCTGCCTTTTCACACTGACTCATCACAAGTGGTCGCAGATGGCTTCTTCTGAGGAATAAAAACAAGCCCGATGTCTAAATATATGGTAAAGTTTAAGACTCCAACAGTGGATGAAGACATAATACTGCTACTGCTTCTCTGAAGACCAACCTCATGTCCAGTCCATTGAGGAACAGGATGCGGTCGCCTGGTTTCAGTCCACATTCCTCAGCAGGAGTATCTGAAAAAAAAAACAGAGATTGCTGAAAATTCAAACTTCAGTCACAGACGGAACACAGATCCAGGCTCCTCTGAGCTAAAAAGGTGAACCGAAGAGAGAGAGAGAGAGAGAGAGAGAGAGAGAGAGAGAGAGAGAGAGAGAGAGAGAGAGAGAGAGAGAGAGAGAGAGAGAGAGACGGTGACTAAGGTGGAGCTGTCAGCCTCTGTGAGATCCAACAAAGCCTGTCAACAAACGAGATGAGCTCCATGCTAAATTGCATTACATAAGGGAACAGCGCTGTCAAAACAAGCCCTGCTGAAGTCAGTTCTGCCTGTGCTGCTTCCATCACCTCCTCATCTGTCAGCTGGCTGCTGAAGCTGCCTTTAGAGCCGACTGACAGATGTCTTCACACAACGTTCTCACACTCCAAAATCAGCCCTTATCGTAGGGTGGAGTATTTTTATTTTCTTTCTTTGTAATCAGTGGAGGACTGGCGTTAAGATCACGATGAGAGACATGCTATCCACCCCCACCATCTCCACTGCAACCTCCATAAGGCCCACTGAGTCAGACGGCTCCAGCACATGTCGGTGGGTGATGTGGTGGGCGAGCACGGTGCCGTCATCGTCAAGTAAAACACACACACACACACACACACACCAAAGAGGAGAAACATCTCCCTCCTCACAGGAATCTGCAAAGTTCCCTCAACAATTTCTCTGTTTTACGGTGTTTATTGTTTTCATTTCACAATGGTTCTAATAAACACACAACAAATAAAAATAATAATCTCAAGGCAGTAGAGGTGATCACATTTATTATTTAAATTCTGACCAAAACTGACCCCTATAAAGTCAAATGTACGAGAGCTCCACATCTCTAACAGGACTAGTACGTTCCTCAGACACACAGTATCAGATCCTGTGTCTGTTCTTGTTGATTATTGTGTGTAACCTGTAAAATTCGCTGTGCATGTTTTTACTTCTGGACTTTTCACAATACCACAAAACGCTAACTAGCTAACCCACTATCAAAGTAAAACCAGTGTAGACAAAATAACAATTATTACATTATATTTGTATATTATTTGGTCCACTTTTTCATCAAGATTAATAAAATACCAGTACTTCCCACTGTTAAATGAAGGAAAAACCTTTCTTTTTCATCAAAACCGAACTATTTAAGGCTGTTTTTATGTTGATAGTGGATTAGCTAATTAGCTTTTTGAAGTTTCATGAAGAATAAAATAAAATAACGGAATTTTTTACATGCTACGCACAATTATATACAATAACAGACATCTTCAGTTTCATTTATTTTGACAGCTATTTGTATTTTCGATATAAAAACACAACTATGAGTTTTCTCCTCAGTTTGCGACACAATGCATTGTGGGATACCTTGCCGGCCCGAGTCTGCTGAAGGATGCATCAATACATCCTCGATATAACACATCCGGGAACTTTGAGATTACTTACCATGATGAGTACTTGAACAGTACTTGGGCCAACGCTGACGTTTCACAAGTACGTGAGTAGACAAGTTCAGACGGGTAAACGGCTCTCATACTCCTGTACTCGGTAGAACAGACTTTCTGCTGTACTTTCCAAGCAAGTACTTTTCAAGTACACAAAACTGTACTTGCCTACACTTGGGCATTGAGAAACGGCCTTAGGCCCAATCTCAATACTCGCACTGCGCCCTGCGGTCTTCAGCAAAGTGCACTTGGAGAAAGTGCGCAGTAGGCTTCGAGTGCGTAGTACACAAGTGTGCAGGTAGTTGCCGAATTGAGACAGGGAGCATTGCGTCATCGATCATAACGCATGCTGTGATGCTGGTCGCTGTGAAACCTTTTTAAAAAACCTTTATTAACAAATTTAAAGCAAACAACAAAGCAATAAAATTGGAATAAATGTAACTTCATTGCTGCTTTGTCTAAAACATTCAGAGCGCCAACTAATCGTCCTAAAATGAACTAATTTCATTAGAAAATTCATATTTTCAGAAAAGGAACTTGAGCCTTTTCTCCTGCAGCAATGACTTGTGGGTAATTCCCTTGCCCGTGATCCGCATCTCTGCGGACTTGGGTGAAGTGTAGATTAAAGGTGCAATGGGGACATGGTCAACTTCTGCACTTGAGAATGGAGACACCCTACACACTCACACCCCTGGCCCGGAACGCGCAATTGAAGGGTGCAAGTGCGAGTATTGGGATGAGGCCTTTGAGTGAATTCAACTCAAGATGGCTGCCACAAGCTACCTGACTTCAGAAACCATACAGCTAACTAAGAAGGAGACTCATTTTCATTCAAATGGTTTTACTGATTGGGATTTTGGTGAACCATAACAATATGATTATGTGAAACACAAATAAAGCTTCTGATCATTTGTGCTAATGAAACACAGAACAAATAGAGTAAAAAACAAAAATGTGTGTAAAACCTCTGAATGGAGCACCTGATGCTGCCAGAGTACAGCCTTTTCTGAGTGTTTTCCTCTTAACGTTTTACTGGTGAGTCACGCGAAAGCACTTGCTGGTACACTCACCGTTTCTCTGGCTCTCCCTCTCACACAGAAACACTTCCTGTCCACCTTTTACCTCTCTGGGCTGGCACCACAACAAAGTCACCCCCACAGACAGCATCAGCCCCCCTCTCCTCCGGCGTTCGGGTCAGAACGACCCGCAGAGGAAAGAGGTGTTGATGAGGACTGGTGGGTTTATTTTAGAGCGACGCGGTACCTGGAATGACTGAGTCGATGCAAACGGGAGCGTGACCTCGCAGCGTGAAGCCAAAGCTCTTCTTCCCTCGGTAGACACGGACGATCCTGATAGAGGAATGCAGACAGACATATAATCAGCTACTTCAGATACGATATTATTGATTTTCAGTGGTTTTATAGCAGCTTCCAATATCTATTATTACTGTAACAATCTATTAGAAGTAATAAACATGTGATTGTGATTACTGCTCTACTCTGAAACTTTCATCTGGTGGCACTTATAAACCTTTGAGTACTTTAATGGCCAAAACTGTTAACTGTTGTCTAATTATTCTAATACTGTTAAAACATATGAAATGTGCCAACCTGAATAATGTTACTAAATTTCACTCAAAAAAGCCCCAAAAGCAAAATACTGAAAATAGTAAACGCACAAAGGAGAAAAACATCTAAAATATGTCAAATTATTGAATAAAAGTTCTAGAAATGAGTTTATGACTGAGTTTTATTCAAACACAACAATGTTTAGGAAAATTAGAGCAAGAACAATGAGACAAACAGTCTCCTGTTTGATTTGTCACTTCCTGTGTGTGGGAGTCAGAACAAGTGGGCACATGATGCTCGATTTACCGCTGCTGAACTTTCCAATTCAGCACAACAACCCTGAGTTTTTGTGTACAGAATAAACATGATCCCATGGGGGATCGGTGGCACAGGAGTTAAGTGCTTGCCCCGTAATCGGAAGGTTGCAGGTTCGAGCCACGCTCAGTCTGTCGCTGTCATTGTGTCCTTGGGCAAGACACTTAGCCCACGTTGCCTGCTGGTGGTGGTCGGAGGGACCGGTGGCGCCAGTGCTCGGCAGCCTCGCCTCAGTCAGTGCGCCCCAGGGCAGCTGTGGCTACATTGTAGCTCATCCCCACCAGTGTGTGAATGTGTGTGTGAATGGGTGAATGACTGATTGTGTTGTAAAGCACCTTGTGGGGTTCCAGGACTCTAGAAGGCGCTATATCAAATACAGGCCTTTTACTATTTAGCATGCATTTATGTAAAGAGTTCACCTGTGAGGAGAATGATCAAAATCACAAAGCTTTATTCTGACCAGAAGAAAATAATAAAAAGAAGCATTTTTGAAAACATTGTTTTTGCAAATGACCTCTTCGTTAGTTTTTACACGGCCAAATTCCGGTCCAAACAGAAACAGCTCTTGGCATTTCGCAAATAAATGCAGACATTTCGCTTGACGGTGGTGCTGCGCTCACATTCACATCCGTGAACATCGGCGATGACAGTTTGTCTGAATGTCCGCAGGATGTTGCCATGGAGATGACTGAAGGCAACATCGCCTCAGTTTAGAAACCTAATGTAGCTAAAATTTAATAAAAGAAGACAAACTGGGGCGAGAAAACCAGCAAATCTCTGGCAGTTCCCGTTGTAGGATCTTATGTAAGATGATTTAAAAGCTGAGAGGTGTACTCAGTGTTATGTGTGTGTGTGTGTGTGTGTGGGGGGGGGGGGGGTGCTTGGAGCATCCGTCTGCACCAACCTTCTATATGAGTTCTCAGGAAGTCATCAAACACAAATGATTAGGCTCACATGAACATGAGACCGAGTGAATGGTGATCTGTGGTGAATCATTTGAATCTAAAATCGTTTAGCGAACTAAACCAAATCATCTGTAGTTGGATTCATTCAGAAACAACCTGCTGAGTCTAAATGTATCATTTTCCTCCAAGTTCTGCGTCTTCATCTGCGTTTTTCCTCAGATCTTCCCTGTTTCCAGCTCCCTCACCACCGGTCTGTCTCTCTGTGCTGCAGAGACACACACTCCAGCTTGTTTATTTTTACAAAAACACAACCTTCCCACTGACTGTGTCGCTGTATTACGAGCAGCTCGCCTCCTGTTTACAACGCAGCCACAGGCTTTCACACTCTTCCAGATGAAGGCTCATTATGGGATGGAGTTCGTTAGCCATGTGTGGGAGTTCAGAGCCACTCTGGTGATCCTGTGAGTCCACTGTGGTGTTATTAATTGGACAGCTGTGTAATCAGCCTGTTAGTGGGTGGAGGATGAGCTGGAGAAGTTGAATGATCGATGAAGAGGAGATCCTTTTGGTCGGAGAGGGAGGAAATGTGTCATTTTCTGCAGCTAAAGCTCAGAAACAAACACAGCTTTGGTGTTTAATAAGTAATGGTGTGTAATGAGATGGGGGAGAGCTTTAGGGTGGGAGATAGAAGAGGAAGACACCTTCTGTTTACTCATGCATCTATAAACACTTGGCCTGCAGATTAAAATGCATCTTTTTGGTTGTTTTAATTCAGGAGCAGCTTGTCAGACACAGTTTCTCCTTTAAAAAACATCAAAAGCAGCTTCTCACCTCTGATTGGGTCCGAGAGGAGGGTGTGTTGGCATCCCTGAGCCGGATTTCCTTAACCCCCGGTCTCTCTCTGCGTCACCTCTGCCCCCAGGTTCCCCTCCATCCCTCGGCACTGAGCTGGCCCTTTTGGACCCGTGGCGCCGGTCCGAGTGATCCTCGCTGCGACTGCGCCGGATCCTGCCCTGCGGCTCGCTGATGCTCTTGCTGCGACAGAGCCGGTTGATCATGTTCTGGGAGACGGCATCGTCGAAGCGCTGCCGGTGCTTCTTTGGGATGAAGATTCTGGCGAACATGATGGCATGAAGGGGAGAGAAATTAAAGAGAAATCAGCTGCTTTCGCCACGGGAATTCCCTTGAAATCACGAGAAAAATGGGAAAAAAAGAGGGTGAATTTAAACTAAAGATCCCCCCTGAGTCCAGTTTTTAAAAGTACAACCCATAATCAGAACATCTGGGTTTCAACCGAAGAGGCTGTGGCAATCCAAGCCGGTCCTGATTACACTCAACAGGCTTCCCCCTTCATGTCTCGGCTCAGAAAAGCAGAGAAGGAGCTTCTGGATGGCAGGTGAGAAGTCTTCCCCCTTAGCTGTCTCCAGAGAGAGGAGAAAGGACCAGAGAGAGGAGGAAGACGATGAGGAAACCGTGGTGCTGCTCGCTGGAGCCAGACTGCTGCAGTGTGAAAAACCAGAGCCAGAATACGGCACGGGGAGAAGAAAAGGTGTGGGAGTGAGTGAGCATGGGATTTCTGCTCCATTAGCTCCATCTCTCTCCATCTACAGAAACTCACACACTTCCGTCCACAGAGCAGCAGGAAGCTCTCGGCGTTCTCATAATCCATTCTGACAGATCACCTCGGTAACTAACTGTTTATGTATTTTTAGTCAAGTTGAACCGATTTGAACCAAAACAGGTCAGATGTTAGGCACCAACACGTTCTCTGGAGCCTCATCTAGAAAACCTACCTGGGTTCCACCTTAAAACATTGGGTACAACACGTGGGCTAAAACACGGGCTTTGATCGTTCCTCTAAAAAAAACCTGAATATTTCCACTGTGCATTGAAACCCTATTTTATAAACCTCATCAGAAATGTTAGTGAATTCTCACCAGAATGGTTAAAAGAGCAGAAACCTATAGAATTAAATGTAAACAACGTGTTAAAGGTTTATAAACGAGCGTTTGCATGATTATTACTATTTTTTAAGTAGGGACGTTTTAAGAAAATACAGTAAGCAGGTGTAGCTTAACTTGCTTCACAGTAAAACAGAATTAAATGCAATAAAATGAAGAATCAACAACCATGAGTAAAATAGAATTAGATAAGAAATAAAATCCAGTAAAACCTTTAAAAGGGTGTCCTCACAGCGGATGGAGAGGGGAAGAGCGTTCCACAACCTTGGAGCCATAGCCTAAGTAAGCAGTCTCCACGAGACTTTACCCGGGTTTTGAGCTCCACCGGGAGCATCTCAACTGCTGACCTCAGGCAGCGTTTGGGAGTGTGGACCTGTGGCAGGTCAGCTAAATGTGAGGAAGCTTGGCCATGTGAAACTTTAAAAGTTATGGTTAGGATCTTAAAATGAACTCAAACAAAGGCTGATAGCAGAGCGAGGACAAACAGAGCAGCAAGAGGCTCACCAAGCACCGGATCCATCTTTGTCATGTCCAACGGCCTAACCGCGGGTCGAGACTGTGACTGTCCGTTAGCTCATCAATTTCTCCACATTGTAACTTTCCTGCAGATAATCAGTCACTAGGACAATCCCAATTGTAACATATGTTTTATCATTTTTCATTTATTTCTAATTTGAGTGTCAAAAATGTTATTTCCACGAGAAAAAAAAACCAGGTCACAAGTCAGGTTAGAACAATGAAAGCTTTTTAGTTGATGTCAAAATCAGTTTGGAAATACATAAATTCACTGGTTAAAAGAACTTGGAGACGAAGAATAATCAGTTTTTAGAGCATATGGAGAATTTGTGTGGACGACATTTAAAGACAAGCCCTATTTCAACATTCCAGATCATTTTATTGTCATTGCACAGGTGTCCAACGAAATTGGCTTTGCGCTCATTAAAGACAGCTCATGTAAGGAGGTAGTAAAAATATTAATAAAATAAAATAACGGCTAAAATAAAAGTCACACACACACTCTCTCTCTCTCTCATGCATACACATACGCACACACACATCTTTCACACATTTGAATAGTTAATGGTTTTATTCAGTCTGAGTCACAAGATCCAACCAGAGAGCGTATTTGTACAAAGGAGCATTCAAATTCCCACCTACACCAGTCTGCTTTGTTCTGATGAGTTGATCTGCTGCTGATCAGATGAATCAGAGAGAAAAACAACACCAGACGAGTAATTAGTGGCAAACCCACTATGAAGGATGCAAGCAGAGGCATCAGTGAGCCCTGTGCTGGTCCACTAGAAGCTAATTAAGCTACATCAACAATTTGGGCTGCTAAATAAAGCAATTAGGACACACTCATGTAAATATAAATATAAATAGAAATAGAAATATATAAGACTCACAGCCAAGAGCCATTTTATCATACAAGCTTGTTTAAGCACTTTAATAAAAGGTGCTCAGGTAAATAAGAAGCACTTTAAGCACTGATTTTATTTTGTAACCAGGAGAAAAGTTCTTGTTTATTTCATTTCCACCCTTGTTATGTCTTGTTTCTGAGAAATAAAGATGTTCAAGATGCAATTAGAGCCGTGAGCGTTTTTGGCCAATGGTAATGTTTAACGGTTTAAATATAACTACGGGCTCTGGATAGTATGAAATGTAAAATGAAGCAAAAGAAACATACAGTACTGAATGCTGTTCTCCCAGAAAAAAATAACATTATATATGATCAACATGATAAATGATAACTAGGTGTGGGGAACGAACTCTAAGATCCTGTGACAGAAGCAGAGAGATTAACTCAATAAAAAACCTCCTGAACGCCCCCTGCTGGCATAATGAAATAATACAAGCTGATGCCTGGTTCAGCACCACCAAGTCTATAAACAACACGCCAGAAGGGTTTCTATAGGAAAGTGAAAACATCCGAGAACATCTGAATATGTTCAACACATTAAAGACATTTTTGGCCATTCTTAAATGTGGTTTTGTGTAGGGCATTATAGGGTTATTTATAGGGGTTTTTATAAACAATTTTGTTTGGAAAAACAGAGTCTGTGTTCTTCTGGACTAAATAACAGGTAGTCATTGTGACAAAAGCACGTTGCTGCTGTCTTGGAGCATTTGCAATCTGCTCAATTTCAGAGCAGTTCATTATTTGGGTTTTTGGATTTACAAGCTTAAAGGGAGACTTTGCAGTTTTGGCCTGCTTTTAGCACCCCCTAGTGTTCCGTTAGTGAAACCAAAAGTGAAACTTATCTCCTCGCTGTGCGCTCGTCTTTCTAACATCTTCATCTAACAGCTGAAATGTCTCCTCAGCCTTCATTAGTGTCTAAAGGAGTGATTCATCACCAAATTAAACAAACCAGCTGGTTGATGATCTAAACATGCAGGAAACGTGCTGGAAGCAGACTGCAGTGCTGGCATGTCAGCGCCACTTTACTAAGACTAACAGGGAGCGGTCTGCCAATCTGAAGTTGCAAGTGCGATATTCTGGCCACAGAGGGCAGTGGGGTCCCAGTGACATTTCATTAATGTCAATTTTATTTTCACGTGTCTGAGCAGAGCCTCCCTGAACCGTCTACAGGTGGTTCAGAATGTCTGTGCTCGGCTTGTGGCCAAATAGTCAAACACACCCACATCACCCCACTTCTCCTCCAGCTTCACTGGCTGCTAGTCAACTCCAGGGTTCATTTCAAGATCCTGGTTCTGGTCTATAGGGCCTTACATGGACAAGCACCATCTTACATCGGTGATCTTCTTAGTCCCTACACCCCCAGCAGGTCCCTGAGGTCCAGTGATCAAAGCCTACTGGTTGTGCAGCACCAGGCTAAAGACCAAAGGTGACAGATCATTTGCTGCTGTGGCCCCCAGACTCTGGACCTCTCTCCCCCTGAGCCTGAGATCAGTGGACTCAGTGGTCTCCTTTAAAAAGCAGCTGAAAACTCACCTGTTCAGGCTGGCTTTTGTATGACCTTCTTCACCACTCTCTCCTTATTCTGCTCTTTCAACTTCTTCTGCCTTCCCCAGGATCCGCTGATTTCCCTCTTTCCTATTCACTCTCTCTCTCTCTGTCGTTGCATTTTTTAATCAAAATAGTCTATTTTTGCTGATTTAAAAATATTCTAATCATTTTCTAATTTTTTTTTTAATATTTTAAATGTTTTGTTTTCGTGAAGCGCTTGGTGATTTT